ATAGTTAATAATGACAGGTGGTGGTAGTAGTTGTGACTGAGGAAGGTGGTGGGTGGGTGGTGGTAGGTTATAATGATGCGCAGTGTCGGCTGTGGTTGTTGATGGTGATGGGGTGGTCAGTTGTGGTAGTTGAGGCGGATGAGTGTTGATTGTGGGGGAGAATGGTGGTGGTCGGAGTGATGGGGATAGTGGGTGATGATGGTCGATAAAAGTGGCGGCTATGATTGAGGATGGCGGCGGCGGTGGTGGCGGCGGTGGCATGGTGGTAGTTGAAAATGATAGGCGGTGGCGGCAGTTAATTATGAATATGTGATAGCAGCTTAATGAAATTAAGTCTCTGTTATAGATCTTAATTACATATCTATTAAGACCCTGTGAAGTAAAAAAAAAAAAAACAAACATACTTAATGATTAAGATCTGAATAATTAAGATTCACACTTTAAAAACAAACGCACTTAATGTCTGAGATCTAAATGATTAAGATTCAGACCTCCAACCTCATCTGGTTGCTTCCCATGTTCGGCGATCTCATTTGTTTTCCTTTTTTTTTTTTTTTTTGGCATATGTGGGGTTGTAAGAAATGGAAGGAACAATAACAAGGTTAGGAATTATACTATAATAATTTTTAAATTAAATATAAACTGTTAAATTCAATTGAAATAAGTGAATAAGGGAATTAACGAATTATGTTAGCTCACAAATTTGTCGGGACTAAAATATTCAAGTACTTTTTAAAATCTCGTCATATAAATTTTTGGCTCCGTCACTTCAAGAGAGAGGTAATGAATTAGGTTGCAGGGGAACTGGTTTTCAACTTTTACTGGAAGTCGTATGATTGATAATATCAATACAGTAAAAAGCATTACCTGGTTTAACATCGTAATCTAATTGCACAATAAATTAACAAATTGAACAATAAACTCTTACCTTCAGCTAGTATTCCATAGTTTATATCCTGGAATCCATAGAACTAATAATTCTCGTGCTAAATAATTAGCAAATATAATCTGCAATGACATGTACTGACAATGGAATAAGGTACTGTATAAAACAGCAACGATTCAGAATCGTGTAGATGTACTATCATAGTACAGTGAATTATGCTCAAATTGTCAAAAGAATAATACTAATCCCACCTTGTATTAAAAATTCATGTCTTGTTTAATGTACCCTGAAGCTATAACCAAAACTGAAAAATGAAACATATGAGATGCCTTTGGTTCAACCACATGAAAAAGGTATAGACATGTCGACAGGATGCCCGTATTTGATAAAACATGTTCAATTATTTTAGTTTATTGTCAAAATATTCAATAGGGATTTACTTTGTATACCCTCGGGATATTCAATTAACATTTGAGGCACAGAATACCAAAAGCTGTAAATGGATACTGGTCGATAAATATTTAGACAACCTGTTACCTGTATAATAATGAAAAAAACATCAGCTACTTTTCTATCCAAAAGACTAAGTGCGCGTTTGGACATAAGAATTGTAAAATTTCAAAAGAAAGTGAAAATAAATTCAAATGAAAATAGTATTTGAAAATTAGAGTTGTGTTTGTACATGAATATAACTTTGGGTGATCTGAGTGAAAATTTTGAAAAATAATTTTTTGGAGTTTTTCAAATTTTCGAGAAATTCCAAAATTCATCTTCAAGTGAAAATTAAAAATTTTATGGCCAAACACTGATTTCATAATATGCTGGAATTCAAATTTATTACTTATGAGATTCCAGCATAATATGCTGGAATTTCATAATGTGTTGGAGTTCCAATATAGTATGCTGGAAGTTTATACGCAGGAGGTCCATAATCTATAATATTATGCCGGAACTTTCCGTGTGTCAGCTAGGATATTTTTTTTCCAAACTTTATCTCTGCATAAAATAGTGGTTATTTTTAATGACTTTGCATGACGACTCAAATAAAAAAAGCAGCAGTCCAAATCTTACCATTTTCAGCTCTCCCTTTCTTGCCTTCTTTCAATTTCATTCAAGTTGATAGCTGTGAAAACCGTGAAGATTTGCTCAGAAGAATCGAATCTCTTTTGTATGATTGATAAAATGATACAGTAAAAAGCATTACTTGGTTTAATTATCGCAATCTAACTCCACAATAAGTAACGAATTGAACAAACAAAATCAACCGTATTATTCCACAATTTACAACAACAACAAATCCAGTGTAATCCGGATCTGGAAAGGATAGTGTGTATGCACACCTTATTGCTCGCTACCTTGTGAAAATAGAAAGATTTCGATTCAAGGAAACATGAAAAAAGGAGACAAAATCAACAAGAGTAACAAATACAAAATAAGAAAATAACTGAAGCGAAAAACATAATAGGTAATAAAAGAAATCTAAGAATAAAAGAGTACCAAAGTTGTACTACTACCTAATGGTACTGTTGAGATATACTATTAACGATGCGGTTTAGACATAGTATTTTATTTTATTCTTTATGGAGCAATTATTTTTTTAATTTATTCAATTTAATTATGTACTATTTTAAATAGATCATTTGTTACATTTGTGTCCTTTTAGTTATGTAATAGACAATTTAGTGTATGGAGTCTTCGCTCATGCACAGAAGATTAAATTGTCGGTTCTCATAATTAATAAACTATGTTCACAATCAAAGATATTATTGGACAAAATATCTTGATGATTGTAGCACAGGATTATAGTATAATTTGTCTTGATTATGTGAGTGGTTTTACTCCGACTTCTTGTGCTAGTATACTTAGTGTATATTGAACGGACCAAGTAGAGAAAAGATGTTTTTGTACTGAATATATATAAAATATTTTCTCTAATTCATTAAATGAGCTTATACTCCTAATCTTGATATAATTATTATGATCAATGTAATTTGTTTATTGTTTTGATTTATCAAAAGGTACGACTCTATTCAGAGTTAGTGTATGCCTACTACATTGGACAATAACGAATTACATTTGTGAAATAATAATTAGTTGATAGAATCCATGGCTCGGTTTTGAGTTTGATGATACCCCTTTATGTAAGCTTATAAGTTTTCATGTGGAAACCCGGCCGGTGGATTTTGTATCCGTCACATGAAATAGTTTAAGCGGAATTGTAAAGGATTTAATTAGTTGATTAAATTAAATTTTCAGTGATTTAATTTAATTAGCTGGTATTTGAGATCTTAACATGGGGAGTTAAAATAATTGTTACTGAATTTTCGAAAATCATATTGAGGAATTCAATTGCAGTTTTTTAGTGGATAAATTGCAATTAATTATAGTAAGAGTTAGTTCATGATAATTTCGAATTAATGCTATAATTGGTAGCCTCTTATTATTTCTGTGGTCCCTGCTATACCTAGTAAAAACCTGAACTTGACTTGGGTAAAAAGTGACTTGGGAGAAAAGTCATCTGGTAGAGTTGGAGTAAGATTCTACTTGTGAAAGCAGAATCCTACACGTTTTTGGAGCTGATTTTCGACCAAAAACTAGTCTAATTTAGGAAGACTAGTTTCACCCAATAACTCACTTTTAGAGTTGTATTGTTCTTGCCCACTCAAAGCAAATCCGTCCAAGGTTTTACTAGGCATATAGCAGAGACTGCAACCCTGGATTCTTGCTGTGTGGAGGATTTGTGCAACGATTTTAAGAGGTTAGTGCTTCTATTCTAGTAATTATAGCATTGTCTAGTTTACATGTATATGATGCCTGGTTGTATGCTTGCTTACGCTGCACATGTTCTAACAATTGGTATCAGACGCCGTCTTACATCTAACTAGATAATGTAATACACCAGGAATAGAGTAATATTAAAACGTGTTGTTATTCTATGTCAAAAATGTGATTGTATTTATTAGTATTTTAATTCTGAAATTATGAATTAACATACATATGCATAAACAGTGGTGTTAATTGTAATGACAATCTGTTTAATTACGTTTTTTGATGGATAACAGTGTTGGTTTTAATAAAAACGTGATTGTTTTTTCACTATACTATTAAATCTGTAATTATGGATTAATACATATATGCATAAATAGTGGATTAATACTATTAATCTATTTTAGTTGCATTTTTTTTGTCCATAATCACAGTGTTATATTAATAAAAATGTGACTGTTTTGTATATTATTAGTTCTGGAATTTCGGATTAATATACGAAATTATGAACAGTGGCGTTTTCGAACGGTGAAAAACATACTGTTTTTTTTACAATTTTGTTTGAACACGTTTTTATTAAATAATAATAAAAATTATTATTTTGAGTTCTGAAATTATTTTTGACATACATCAGTATATTATGTGATTTGACCCAGTCAAAATAATAAAAAATCCATAAAAACGCCAAAAACAGAATTTTACAAATAGGTCATGATTTTAGAATTCTGAAATTCTGTCGAACTCCGATTGACCTCAAATTTGGTAGGTTCATCGGAAACGGCCCAGTGAGCAATACACATCAGCTTTGCTCATGACGTACATCGTTTTTTGGGCATTCGGGGTCGTTTAGATGGGTTTTTGGCCATTTTTCTATTTTCTATAAAAAAAATTTAATAGAATTTTCTTAAAAAAATCTGTGATGGTAGGGCTCAAATACCATTGTTTCCAATCATGTTTTACAGTAATATAATAAATTTATATGTTGACATAGGTCTTTTTCCACATCGGATAAATTCCTTATAGATGATTACTGTAGATTTGCCTCTAGTTATTTGATTACTTGTATTAACTCTCCAACTGAGTTACATGTTGATTCAATGAAACTAGTATAAAAGTGATATTTACCTATCTTAAATTAACAGTATACTCTCCATATGAGTTGGTCGTGTTTAAATTTATGGGGTAAATATCTTACATCACTCATATATTTTGCATGAATAGTTAAGTTTCCCTAACGAATCTAACTGTTCAATGAGCATGGTTATATGTGTAATGTGCTATTTTGAATTCAATTATTCTAAATACATAACTAATGATCTATTTAATGTGAATATCTCTCAGATTAACCATGTCTTCATTCAACCCACTTACCTCAATTTTGAACCAAAACAAGTTAGAAGGACCGAATTATGTTGACTGGAAAAGGAACCTTGATATTGTCCTAGCTGCTGAAGGTTACAAATTTGTAATCACTGAGGAGTGCCTAGAAAAACCTGAAAATGCCACTGGTGATCAGGTTAAGGCCTATGACAAATGGGTTAAGGCTGATGAGATGGCGCGATGTTACATTCTTGCCTCTATGGCGAATGTTTTGCAACATCAGCATCAGTCTATGTGGTCTACTTATGACATGCTCGAAAGTCTCAAAGAGATGTTCAGTGAGCAAAATCGTGCGGCTAAGAAGACAGCCATGAAAGCCCTTTTGAACACCAAGATGGCTGAAGGATCATCGGTCAGGGACCATGTTCTCAAGATGATGAGTCTTCTGAATGAACTAGAGGTCCTTGGAGCTATGATTGATAAGGAGTCTTAAGTTGAGATGGTCCTGCAGACTCTGCCTCACAGTTTTCAATAATTTCGCTTGAACTATAATATGAAGAAAATGGATTTGTCACTAGAGAAATTGTTGAATGAGCTGCAAGCGGCAGAATCCATTACCAAACAACAAGCTCCAGTTGTGGCAGTCAATGTTGAGAAAGCTTCAGTTTCTAAGTCGAAAGGCGGTACAAAAAAGAAGAAGGCTCAAAAGGTTTTGGCACCCGGAGGTGCGACTTGTGTGAAAAAACCCAAAGGAAAGTGCTATCATTGCAAGCAACCTGGGCATCACAAAAAGCAATGCCCTGCCTATCTGGTAAAGTTGAATAAGCAAGGTAATTCAAATTTAAATGTCGTTGAAACTTGTTTGGCGGCTGTTTCTACCATGTTTTGGTGTGTAGATTCGGGAGCCACTAATCATATCTGCACTACTTTGCAGGGGTTTCAGGAAACGCGACGGCTAAGTGAGAACGAAGTTTGTATTTTTCAAGCCAATGGCGAGCAAGCACTAGCTTTAGCATTAGGAGATATTAGAGTTTCGTTTAGTAGTGATAGAGTTTTAGTTTTGAATGATGTTCTCTATGTACCTTCTATTAGAAGGAATTTGATTTCGATTTCGAAAATATTGATGCTGGTTATAATGTTTATTTTGCTAATAACTCTGCTGTTATTAAGTTTAATAAACATTTTATCTACACTGCTGCTAGAGTACATGACCTTTTTATTCTTGATATATCTCCTCATGTGCTACAACAACCAAAAGAATTAAATAACATTAATCTGCGACATAAAAGAAAACGTATTTCCGAATTGAGTCAAACTTATTTGTGGCACTTACGTCTAGGTCATATAAATCTAAATAGGATTTCGGGATTGGTCTCTGATGGACCTTTGAGTTCATTGAAAGTGGAGTCACTGCCAACATGCGAATCCTGTTTAGAAGGTAAAATGGCCAAGAGACATTTTCCCTCAAAAGGAAATAAAGCCAGCGATAAGGTAGAATTAATTCACTCTGATTTCTGTGGCCCTATGAATATACAAGCAAGAGGTAGTTTTGAGTATTTTGTGACTTTCACAGATGATTACTCAAAATATGGATACATTTATCTGTTACGACGTAAGTCTGAATGCTTTGAGAAATTCAAAGAATTTAAGACGGAAATGGAGAAACGACATAATAAATATATCAAAACATTGCGATCTGATCGTGGTGGTGAATACCTTTCTGCAGAATTCATTAGATACTTATCAGACAGTGGAATTACATCTCAATTATCTGCCCCAGGAACACCACAACAAAATGGTGTGCCAGAAAGAAGAAATAGGACCCTTATGAAAATTGTTAAATCAATGTTAAGTTATTCCGATTTGCCTTTTTCCTTTTTGGGGATATGCTTTAGAAACAGCAAATTACATTCTAAATTTGGTTCCTTCAAAGTCAGTACCTTCAACTCTAGTAGAATTGTGGACTAGGCGCAAGCCAAGTTTACGACACATTCAGGTTTGGGGTTGTCCAGCACATGTGCTGAAAGGGAAAGCGGATAATTGGAATCAAGGACAGAAGTATGCATTTTTATCGGATATCCAAAAGGAACTAAAGGCGGTTTGTTTTATTGTCCCAAAGAAAAGAAGGTAATTGTTACGACAAATGCAAGATTTTTAGAAGAGGACTATTTAACGAACCATATTCCTAGAAGTAAACTAATTTTACAGGAATTAAATAATGTAGTAACTAAAGACTCATCTCTAGAACGTATCCCGGAAGCCAGTATTGACATACCACTGCATTATCATAGTGGGAGAAATGTCAATAGGCAGCAGAATGCACAAGAGCATTTGCCTGACATCTCACTACCCCAAAGTAGTGGGAGTAATGTTGAGCAACATCAGATTGTTGAGCAACCTCAGATTGTTGAACAACTTGACTGTTCTGTAGCCTGCACTCCAGGAAGAAGTTAATGATATCCCAGCACCGCAAGGCGTGGAGGATAACATTGAGGCTTCACTTCCAGAAAATGGTGTTATGATTCAACAACAAAATCAGCCTGCACCTGCAGTGACTAGTCGTAGTGGGATAATTCTTAGAAAACCTCTCCGGTTTGCGCTCTTGGGAGAATCTTATGATAGAATCCCTGAAGAGCCTAATACAGAACCTATTAATTACAACGAAGCACAACAAGATATAGATGCTGATAAATGGGTTGATGCTATGAAATCTGAAATGGAGTCCATGTACTCCAATCAAGTCTGGGATCTTGTAGAACCACCTACTGGAGTCAAATCCATTGGTTGTAGATGGATCTATAGGAAAAAGAGAGGAGTGGGTAAAAGTGCAAACTTTGAATGCTAGGCTTGTTGCAAAAGGGTTTACTCAAAAAGAAAGGATCGATTATGAGGAGACCTTTTCGCTAGTAGCCATTCTTAAATCCATTAGGATTATCATATCCATTGCTGCTCAATTATGAGATTTGGCAAATGGATGTCCAGACGGCTTTTCTAAATGGAAGTCTTGATGAGTGCATCTATATGGCACAACCAGTTGGTTTCATAAAAAGTGGCAATGAGCACATGTTGTGTAAATTAAAGAAATCCTTTTATGGATTGAAACAAGCTTCTAGAGCATGGAACACTTGTTTTGACGCATCGATGATATTTTGCTCATTGGAAATAATGTGAGCATGTTGAATTCAGTAAAGGAATGGTTGTCCTCACATTTTGATATGAAAGACTTGGGACATGCGTCACATATCCTTGGGATCAAGCTTATGGGAGATTGCAAGCGAAGGACATTAGGCTTATCCGAAGCACTTTATATTGATACTATTCTCACCAGGATTAGCATGCAAGATTCCAAGAAAGGCTTTATCCCTTTTAGACATAGATACTCTCTGTCTGATGAGATAGAAAAGATGAAGGCGGTCCCTTATGCTTCTGATGTAGGGAGTCTCATGTATGCTATGCTATGTACTAGACCTGATATCTGCTTTGCTGTTGGCATGGTTAGTAGATTTCAGTCTAACCCTGGATGAGAACACTGGACTGCCTTTAAGCATATAATCAAGTACTTGAAAAGAACTAGATATTATATGTTCATGTATCACTCAGGTGATCTTGCACCCATTGCCTTTACTGATTCAGATTTCCAGTCAGATAGAGATTCTAGAAAATCTACCTCAGGATATGTTTTTACCTTAGGAGGTGGAGCCATAAGTTGGAGGAGCATCAAGCAATCATGTGTTGCTGATTCTACCATGGAAGCCGAATATGTGGCTGCATTTGAGGCAGCTAAAGAGGCTGTTTGGCTCAGGAACTTTCTAAAAGAGCTTAATGTGGTTCCTTCGGTTCAAGCACCGATTGTACTTTATTGTGACAATAGTGGTGCAGTTGCAAACTCGAAGGAACCAAGAAGCCATAAAAGGAGTAAGCATATTGAGCGTAAATATCACTTAATTCGGGACATAATCAGAGAGGTGATGCAAGAGTGTTGAAGATTGCGTCAGAGGACAATTTGGCAGACCCGTTTACAAAGACCTTGACACAGAATATTTTTGACAAGTATGTAGAAGGAATTGGTATTAGAGTAGTAGACGCATGGTTATGAGTCTAAGTGGGAGATTGTTGGGATATACTATTAACCATGCGGTTTAGACATAGTATTTTGTTTTATTCTTTATGGAACAATTATTTATTTAATTTATTCAATTCAATAAAGTACTATTTTAAATAGATCATTTGTTACATGTGTGTCCTTTCAGTTATGTAGTAGACAATTTAGTGTATGGAGTCTTAGCTCATGCACAGAAGATTAAATTGTCGGTTCTCATAATTAATAAACTATGTTCACAATCAAAGATATTATTGGACAAAATATCTTGAAGATTGTAGCACAAGATTATAGTATAATTTGTCTTGATTATGGGAGTGGTTTTACTCCGATTTCTTGTGCTAGTATACTTAGTGTATATTGAACGGACCAAGTAGAGAAAAGATATTTTTGTACTGAATATATATAAAACATTTTCTCTAATTCATTAAGTGAGCTTATACTCCTAATCTTGATATAATTATTACGATCAATGTAATTTATTTATTATTTTGATTTATCAAAAGGTACGACTCTATTCAGAGTTAGTGTATGCCTAATAGATTGGACAATAACGAATAATATTTGTGAAATAATAATTAATTGATAGAATCCATGACTCGGTTTTGAGTTTGATGATGCCCCTTTATGTAAGCTTATAAGTTTCATGTGAAAACTCGGCCGGTGGATTTTGTATCTGTCACATGAAATAGTTTAAGCGGAATTATAAAGGATTTAATTAGTAGATTAAATTAAATTTTCAGTGATTTAATTTAATTAACTGGTATTTGAGATCTTAACATGGGGAGTTACAATAAGTGTTACTGAATTTTCGAAAATCATATTGAGGAGTTCAATTGTAGTTTTTTAGTGGAATAAACTGCAACTAATTATAGTAAGAGTTAATTCATGCTAATTTCAAATTAATGCTATAATTGGTAGCCTCTTATTATTTCTGTGGTCCCTGCTATACCTAGTAAAAACCTGGACTTGACTTGGGTAAAAAGTGACTTGGGAGAAAAGTCATCTGGTTGAAAGCAGAATCCTACACGTTTTTGGAGCTGATTTTCGGCCAAAAACTAGTCTACTTAAGGAAGACTAATTTCAATTGTTCTTGCCCACTCAAAGCTAATCCGTCCAAGGTTTTACTAGGCATATAGCAGAAGACTACAGTCCTGGATTCTTGCTGTGTGGAGGATTTGTGCAACGATTTCAAGAGGTTAGTGCTTCTAATCTAGTAATATAGCATTGTCTAGTTTACATGTATATGATGACTGGTTGTATGCTTGCTTCCGCCGTGCATGTTCTAACAGGTAAGACATAGAAATACACCGACTACCCACTAACCTTTTACCCTAATTCTCGACTTCTACACTCTCCTATCAAGGGTAATGTAATATTGCGGTCGGTCGTTT